TGGTTGCACGGCTGCTTAACTCCCCCAAAATCTGCAGTTGACGTGCCTAGAAGGACTTGTGTTGCCATGAGTATTGGAGCAAAATTAGTTTTGTGAACCGAACCTAATTGTACTACAATACGCTTTGTGGTCACGAATTAAAATATCTGTACTTGGTCTTGAAATCTGCCTACGTAACATGAAAGAAGGTAATAGCCTAAACTGTACGTTGTTAATAGTTGAATGAGCCTTGAGATGGAAATTATGAGCTTTCAAGCGCAATGTGAATAAAGCGTACTGGTCCAATTGGTTTTAGAACGATGACGATCAGGTGGATGCGATTCTAAAGTTGAGCTCACGAAAGATGCAGAAATCAAATTGACTGCAGTTATTTGTCGATCGCACAGGATCAACAGCCAATGACCCAGCAGCACCAGTTATTGAACCTTAATCTTCGATCAATGTCACAATGCATTAAGTTTCTGCATTACTTTTTAATAGATATTTAAGGCTGCTCTATCACAGCTTCAGTTGCGCTGATTTTATAACTTGGCAGAATCCTAAAAAATAAAAGAATTTAGGCAAAAGGATTAACAAATGAGGCCTGTCATGGAAGGTTGCACGACTGGGACAAATGGGAAGCCAGGGTATATAGAAAGACCGTCATCAATCGAGGGCCAATGGGCGAACTGGCCTAAAAGGCTTAACTAAAGCTTGTACCCTGAAATGGCGTCGAAAACTATCAAAGCAAACTCCAATCCAAACAGTCAAGGATTTAGCATCGGGCCTGGTTGTAAAATTATGGTTGAAAAATGAACGGAATGCTCACAAGCAGGCAGTTGGCCTTTCGCAAAGCCATGAGAAATAAGTTTTTTTTCTCTAACTTAAATACAAATGAAAAAATCCTCAGGAAATGAAGCATCGACGCCATAAGTGAACAAAAGTTACTGGGTCTCCAGCATAGCTTAAACCTGTTGTATTTTAGTAGGATGGAAATGGACTAATGGATTTTGAACTGATGGAGGCGAAATAGGTACTAACGCCAGACGTCCGCTGAAGGCAGAGAATTTAGGTGATGTCATCAGAGCAATCAATAAAGATGAGAAATACTGTCTAGCAAGGCTGTGTAGCACACAATCCACGATCACCCAGAAAACTGAGGATTTGGTCCAAGACCCTTTGCTTTCATCACCACATTGAGGACAGCTCCTGTTGCCTACTTCTGGTGTCTGCCGAACATAAATAAAGCTACAGGATAGATCTCAATAAACGCCGTTATACTAAAAGGCGCTCAGTTAAATGTCAATGTTACTCTAACTAAAGTATGATTGTACCAAGAATTTATTACCGGTACTGCATTTGCGACCTTTTACTTTGTCCGTGTATTCTGGGTGACCCAATGTCAACTTCTGACTCTCGGATTCCTGGTTTGGCAATTCTTCAGGCAAACTCTAGATTATGGTGTCCACGTTGTATTTTGTAATCGACTACTGCATCCGAAAAATGCAAAATGAAAATTTAAAGGTAACATTTCTGGGTTGCAGTTAGAAATAGTAAGTTTCCAATACTGATCAAGTTAAACTTGCTCGCCTAGCATTACCGGGCATTTAGATTTGCATGTTTTGATAGCGGCTTTCAAATTTCCCAAAATGAGCGATGTTTTTAATCGGGAAAACATGTTCGAATTGTATTTCGATGCCAATCGACCTTACTACACTTGAAATTTAGTAGTTCGCATTGTTAGTAACGAAATTTTATTCCTTTTTTAGAAACGCTCACTCGGTTGATAAGTGGAATCAGAGCGATTATTTGCATGTCTAAAAGCAATTCCACCAAACGGCTTTCATGAAAGTAACCGAATTATTTCGATTATAAACTTCAGTGGAAGTCTGAGATGCACTTGAGTTTAGAGTGACTGTATTTGGATTTGCACTAAAATTTTGTTAAATTAATACGCGAATGGTTTGGTTCACGATGAAGTGAAATAAATGTAACAAAGAAAACAATTCTTGTTATTATAGTGCCATACTTTTGAAACATTACCCCGATAAATCCAACATTCCCCTTCGTTATAAAATGAACTGCACAACTTTCTAACATTCCTTTGCTGGATTTCGGAAATCTTAGGCTAACGACAGGTTGTAGTTGCTGAGCTCTGACAGTTGCAGTGTTTTTTTCTCAGGATATTCTGTAACGTTTCCTTATGGGACGTTCGATCAACTTTGAACTGAATCGCAGCCAGCAATTGTCAGATATTGCTCAGGCTTGAAGGGAGCTTATCAACGAAAATGTGTTTTCGCATTATCACCCATGGTAAGGTTTCGCAAATAACAGGTCAGCCGACCATTTGCTCAAAAGCCACTTCCAGATTCCATTTGAAAGGAAGCATGTACCTCTTTATAAATCCACACTCTTTTACATGAAAATAAAGTGCAAAAACAAAAAGCCAGTTAACGCCTCCCACTTTGGAAGTTGAAAATCCCGACCCAGGTTGCAAAACCTTTGTTAGTCCTCTGTGTTTCTGGTTCTTTGAGAAAGTAACTAGCTTTTTTTATAATGCGATATGCAAACCTAGTCTGTGAATGCGAAGCAGCATAGCCTCATCTGGGATATGAGTCCACGTCATCGACGGTTTGGCCTTAGGAGAGGACAATATTTGTCCTTTAAGTACTTAGCATTTTTAAAAGCGGCATTTTCTGCATAATTCAGTAAATGCCATCATCAATGGTTAAAACTAGGGTCAGCACTCAAGGGCACGCGGACGTCGAATTGATGCATTCGTTTTTAGGATTGAAGGATTCCACGTATCACGTAGTTGGCTCATCCACTCATGCCAATTTTTTGGCCTAGCACATGTCTAAGGCTAGTTAACGGATTTTGTCCTGTATAGCGTCTTTTTCATTCACACTACAAATGTGGAAATGTGAATCTGGCATGCGATTTGAAGTTGACGTCAGGAAAACTAAAAAATGATAAAGAGGACTTGTCTATGGACCTTTAGAGAAGCGCCAGTAGCTGTGTTTTAAGTTTTGGGGTATCTCCGGCACGTCACAACCGGGTTTCAAGATCTGCATTAATCAGTCCAAATCCAGAAAACATGAACAACCCCCTCGCAGCACGAGGTTATCTCACAGAGAGCGTGCAGAGACATCTGCAGCTGCGTTCCAGAGTGCAACCCAAGAGTTCAACAGACACTGGCAAGTTGGACTTAATATGGCCCTAATTACCTTCTACAGTGCAAAAGTCTGAAAGTAAGAGACTATTAATCATTTTTTTCTGGGAAATGGAAAATGGAACCGATGAGAAGTTAAAAAGACTAAAGGATTTTGATAGACTGAAATTAATCAGGTTCATTTTCTGTTCACTATAGTTGAGAAATAGGCAAATCTCTGAAGCTACCTACAATTGGCTTCACAGCACTCAAAAATAAAAACAGAACCCGTTGATAGTGGATTATTATTGGTCAGTTTTGTCTCTGGGCAAAGTCCAGCTTTTTTGCTTTAGGTATGTCGTTAGTACATTAGTTGAACCCCCTCGGTGATTATAAAGCGATGCAGGCTTCGCAAAGGTGATGGGGAAGCGTCTCCCACAGCGGCCTGTGTAGTGGAGCTGCATTCATTTTTGACGAATCCACCTTGAATGAGTTCAATTCCATGAAGCATAATATAGTTAGTATTTTCGTCAAAATTCACATAAAGCATTTGTAGCTGCTAGGGAATTTAGCACTACCTTACAACCCTCTAGTTAACAGCCCGTAACTACCCGAGGAAAGGGGGAAAAGCGGTGACAGAGAACACGACCGTTCATTGGTGTGACACCAGCCAAGTGGCTTTGTGGGCGTATGAGTACGCGTGCGTGACAGTAGAATGCTGACAGAGGCTAATAACAAAAGGGGTGTCATTGGCCCACCCGGGCCCTCATGCACGGATCACTCACGCGAGGTGGTTGTCAGTCCACTACACATTTATTCTGCTATGATAAATGTGTAGTTTGTCATTGATCTCTATAAACTAATTTGTTTCATGCTTTGTTTGTGATTTTGTGCTCATTGTTTATACCAAGAAATACACGTATAATACTTGTTTTGTGATCCGAGCACCTGCACATGTTCACCACACGGGTCAGAGTCCGATTTGTGACCCCCAACACGAATGCGTCCAGGGGCTCCACGCAGATCATCGCTGTCGGCGGTTTACAGCGAAATCGCGACCCTGATCGCGCGTCTTGATATCTGAACCACTTGAGGTTCAAATGCACACCTACACTACAAATCCCAGGGGGTTGGAGAAGTGAGTGTTGTTTAAAGTGAATTAACCCGAGTAGATTTGAATGGTTATTATGACACACTTGATTTCCCCCTCATGAGGCCCAGTTTTAAACTATGCGGCTGGACATTATGCTGCGCAGGCTCCCCCCCCCCACATGCTCTGCGGACTGCACGACACGCACAACTGACTGCCACCAGACGGGGGCGTAGTTGTTTACACAGCCGACAAACAATCTGGCATTGGTTCTACTTGTTGAGTTTAGTTTCAAGTCAGCACATACGCGGGAATGGGCGAAGTGCCTATGGAACGTAATCAGGATGACGAATACACCCAGCATTGGTCCCCACACAATCCTAATGAATGAATTCGTTTTCAGGTAAATTAAATAAACCATTGGTACTATAACAAATGTACTTGCTTATGCCTCGTGAATGTGCAAACTCAGAAGCTAGTAGTTGAACTTTCATAAACAGATGAGAATTCGTGAAGCTCTTAAAACTTAGGATATTACAAAGAGAACCGCAAGCCTCTTCAGTAGCATTTGGCAACAGCGAACGGGACGTCGGATGTAGGGGGGGAGGGGGGTGAAATAGGTTGGTGGGGCTTTGCAAGCACATTACTACCTGACCCAAGTCACTCAACCCCACCATCACCCCGATTCATCATCATCATCCTACTCCAGCGTTTTGATTGGACGGTGGTGCACACGCGTGCCGCGTGCACAGGACGCGAGCGCCGTCATCACGCATTCGAATGCACGCACGCACGCACACACGTGAACACGTGAACCGACAAATCTCCCTGAGGGTATCTGTGAGCACCCATTCCGAAACAGTCATGGCCGATGCCGCTTGGATTTCCCTTCTGATTTTTCTGGCCTTATCTGCCGAACCCACTGCAGCCAAGATAAAGGAGGGGGAACTTAACGAACTGTTGCAGGAATTGAGCAAGGAACCACCTCCTGAGACAGTGTGGATGTTGCACGAGGAGGGGAACATTTTGGATGACACGTGGAATCCTAGCACTCCGGACAACGGTGAGCTTTTCCTTGCTATTCTATGTCACAATTACCATCTTAATTGATAATTTAGTTTCACTTGAAAGATCTAGGACTTTGGTTTATAGTGGGCGATTTTCCGTCATTTGGTTATTCACGTCGACATATGTGCTGCTAGAATTGAATAGTCTGTCAAATCTATTCTACCAGTGACCAGTCTTCTTCTCCTCTAATTGGTCTGCTCAACGGTGGTTAATGATCACGCAAATTTAACATAGTGCCGCTCGTAAGCTATGCCTCAAACGTTCCAAATAAATGATCTTCAACACATTGGCATTAAACTAGTGCTGTTTAATAAGACATATTTTCATTGCTTTAAGCTATTGATTTCATCTAGTCAGCCATTTTCAGCATATTTCCCAATTATTTCAGAATTATTGTGAGTTATTATAGAGCTGTTTTAAGGCTGCAACGACATCGAAAGTTACGTTGAGGTATCACATAGCTGATAAAAGCCGAATATTCCTAGTTTCCTTTACAAACGGGTCATAGAAAAATTGCTGCCAATTAGCACCTGAGATAAAACAAAGGGTTTAACATCGTTTTCGAGGATTTCACGAGTAAAAGCTTTATTACCTCGGTTTATGTAAAACTCAGTGTTTAAAGACACTTAAGGAGATCAGACGCACAACTTCGCTCACGTCGCCTTGGCGTAGAGACACCAACTGTTTCAGAAGGCAAAAAGACTACTCATCGATAGTCAGACTTGCATCAAACCTCTAAGGGCAACTACCTACAACCCCTAAGTCATGTTTTTGTGTTAGTATCATGTAAAATAACTGATGTGTGCCTTTATTTCACATTGCAAGGTGACATTTCTCTCTTCGTTTGATGCGACAATTTTGTGTCAGTAAATAACGCCAATATCAATTTTGAGCTCTTGTGCCGGCCATTCTATCATCAATCAACTAATCAAGCAACGCTGAATCTTTCATCCTTTTAGTGTTAGTTTTAATTCAAAAACTAGTGCTTAGAGCGATTATTTTGCATTAGGTTACAAAAGGCGACGAACTCCCAAGTGGAGGGTTTGTGGTTTTTCGTGTGTCCTGTTATTGCACAAACAGATTGCAACACTTTCTGTTGTTGCACGGATCGCGATTCATGCTGCGAGATTACTTGCCACATGCAACGTCACCGATCTCTTGGGCAGCTGCAGAGCAGACTCCTTCCTCTGAAGTAGACATGGTAACAGACTAGAACTTGTTGCTTTAGTTGTCAGGCAATTTTGTATACCTTAAGTGGCATAATAATCAGTGTTCAGGTAGATCAGTGCGGCCTTTCATTTTCGAAGAATAGACCCCTTAAGAGAGGATTTTTGCTGGGCTAAAATAAGCAAATGCATTTTTTCTGTGCTCTGACGTGTTGATTTGCAATCGTAAAACAAAGCCTCGTTGTTTTCTGATGGTCGGTCATTTCATATCACTTGACCAAGGCAGTGCACTAGAACATAAAATGAAGGGACTGAATCGGCGCAGCATTTCAAGGACATGTCTGTCGTTGCTTCTCTTTGTCTTCCAACCGTTTCCATGTCGGAAGGCCTACAGTGGAAAGAAGAACATTTGTTCTGTGGTTAAATAAGCACGACAGATGGAGCACATATGTTTGCAACCTGCAGAATGCAAAAGAACGAAAACATAATTTCACGAGTGTACGCATTTTAGTGTTATGGGCAGGTAGGCCCATAGGTACTTTTTTCAGTTTGTTTTCAACCTGCATGCATGAACACAAATTGACGGTTAAAATGTTCATAAGAAGTGTTCATTTGGCTGAAGGTTAAATTTAGGCTGGTTTTAGCAGAGTGGTTGACGTCGCCGCATGAAAACAATAGAGTTCGACCTTCGGGCTAATTCGTTTTTTTACATTTCATAGAGCAAATGCTTTTAAACTTGCCGGAGTTTTCCCTTTGGCGAAAGATATCTGAATAAAATGGCCAAATAATCTTTAATATATGATAATTCAACTTATTTTCATGGTACCTGACCACTATTGTCCGAAAACAGGACTATAAGATGCATTATGCAGGAATCTTTGGCTTCTTATTGATAATTATTTCTACAGCTTGGCCTAAACACGCAATATTCGGGTATTTCTGTATTGAAGCACTATCACAAGTTGGAAGTTTGTTCTGCGATTGTTTGCTGTCGCAAAGTTGTGGAAAAATAACACTTTCTTGCAACTTATAGTGCCACACTTGAATTCCTGCGGCCATACTGTGTAGTTTAGATGTGTTTTCAATGATGATTAATAACAAAAACTCTTTTTAAATTACTATTTTGTGGTGCTTTGGTTTTTGGTTTCCGGTTGAAAAGGAAACAGGGTTTGTTTGTGCATTTGGCGGTCTCTGTCCACCTTCATTCACGGACGATCATTTGAACGAATAATTAATTTCACTTGCAGTTACGGTTGCTAGTAAAATGGTTCATCAATGTTCAGCAAAAAGACTCTAGATCAGATGTTTTTTATCTGAACGTTAATCATTGGTTGTTTTTTTCTTTACTTTCACCCGCTTGCCCTCACGATAGTAGGCCACAGAAAGCTTCACCACCAGGTGTTCCTGGAACATCTTATGCCCGAAATATCGTGCATATTCTATCTGGTTTTCTACCACTAAAACGTAAAAACAATGGGTCTCTTTTGTTTGTTTCATATTGACTTTGCCGCTTCATAGCAGATATTGGAATTATTTATATTAAAATCACACAGCAATGCTCGGGACAGCTTTTTGTGTCAGTTAAACCGTTTTCCATCTGAGAGCCCTTCGTCACATGCACAAACGCGTCATGATTTTTAACACTTAATATATGTCAAAGAGATTAGCAATTCTTTCTTAATACACTGTGATATAATCAGCACGCCTGCAACCATTTTAATGCATGTTTGTAAATTTAAAACGTTCAATTAATAATACTCGTAAAATTTATATCAATGAGCAAATGCGTTTATACTAATTAAAAGTAGGAAGTATATGGCTATGGAGATTTGTTACTGGGAGACATCATGCACCTCTTTTCGGATGCACGAAAATCCAAAACCCCAATCTTTTACGCGCGATTTGATGGAGTATTTGGTTGAGAAGCCACCTTCGAGAAGGCACATTGTGAATAAGAGATTTTGTTGATTACAGGCACTTGCGGCGTTGAAATGTAAGAGAAGCGAAATTGTGCACGTGATTATGTTTAAAAAGGCGTTGACTTGCTTAACAGCTTCACCCTGCAACCTTCCGTCTTTTCTTTGATTTACCGACAAAACAGACTTGCCTGCGCAACTCTAAGCATGATTTATTGGGTCAGATAAGCGGTTTGATAACCATGCGAGAGCGGCCTGACATCGTGAGTGACACGGGGAAGGGGAGCGGAGTGAGGCACGGTGACCGCTGATCAGCTTTCGATAAGGTGGGTGGGGGGGGAGGTGTGTGTGTAACCGTGGCGCTGCCGGAGGCCAATCAACTACGTGCATCCGAGGCCATTAGAGTAGATGTTGGCGGTAGATAAGGCCCGGCTGCGGACTCCATACGGTTTTTGGGGTTTAGACACGGCGCGGTTATGTGCTCAATGATGATTCCGGGGGTGCAACGATGACTAGGTTGGGTCAAATTATTAAATACCGACATTTCAGTTAAAATAAAAAGAGAAGCGACCCAAACTGAGCCGCGTGTTTATACATGTCAGTAAAATTTGCTAGTTAACAGACCGAATCACACACGATATACGTACACACGTTATGCTTTATCGGCAACTCAGCTTGACTAATATTTAGGGTAAAATTAAAAATTCCTCTGTCTCAGCACCCGGTCTAATCATGGTTCTGATTGGGGATGTATATTGCATCAGGACAGAACTATGGTGTTAAAGTATCCTAACTCTTTTGTCGAAATCTTGTCACGCTATTATCTTTAAGTGGGTTTCGCCAGCGCCTGAGTATCTTTCCTGTTTAGCCAATCCCTTTTGCGTAACGTGTCATGTCCTAATCGGTCTTGTTTACATTGTCTGGTCCTCTGTTCGGTGGTGCTGAACTCTTTAAAGACAAGCAGAATAAGACAGACTTTAGCTGAAAATGTGTAGGCTATTTCTATTTAACAGAAAATAAAAAAGTTTATCTTCTAAACTGGGGGCTTTCGTAGATACTCTGACAGATAACTGGAAACAATTTCACCACTTCGAGTTGACTTGCTCTAAGTGAGAAATGTTTCAAAACGGAAAACTATTCAGTTTGATTCATCGGCACCACGCATTTCGTGCTAGTTTGGCAGCTGACCAAAGGGAGTAATTTGCGTTATTTAAAGAATGCCTAAGTGTTGCATGAGTAGGTACAGCCTACAAGCGCTTTCTGGTTGTTCGCTAAAAGACTTGGCTGTCTCATGACATTGGCGATGAAAAAAGTACGAGAGAAGCCACAGAACAAAGAAAAAAAGTTAACTACTAAAAACAAGCGGATGTCAACAACGAGTGCCTAGTTTTTGCATTCATGAGTTGCTGCGCAGCGAGTCAGGCTCTGGCAAATGCATAAATTGAGCAACAGCTTACTCTGAATTCTGATTTGTTGATAAAACTTCAGGTTTGATGAGTGAGACAAGCACAAAATTTTGTTATGTTTATATATACGCAGAGAAGATGTTTATTATAAACTCTCCAACGATAATCATACCGACTGCTTAAGAAAATGGGATTTCACAATTTTTCAAAGTGCGTTTAAAACACGGGCAAATGATGCCCGGTCATTTTAAAAAGACTGAACAAACTCGCGACAAGAAATTCGACAGTTTGTAGGTCGTCGAGTTAAAACTGGGTAGAGAATGCGAAGAAAGGAGAGTATTGTTAATGCACTGTAAACGGTCACAGTTACGAAACTTGAATGAGCTATAGTATGAACCTTTGAAGCATCAAAGCCATTTGTTCTTGTTAGAAGATACTTTCTACGAATCCCACGCAGCATTTTAATAATGCAACAATACTTAAAAAAGTTGCATGGCATCAGGCGCATTTGCACATTTACAAAGGAATAGTACAAAGAGGAGTTATTTTATAAA